AACTTGCCCGGCAGTAGGTAATCCTGCAGATGCAGTCCTAGCTCTCATCGCTTCAGTGGGAGCTCCTGAGGCACTGGGTTCCTCGCTGGCTGGAGCACTGGCACAATTGCAACTGAGAACAGAGTTTGCTGATTCGGTTTAAAGCATACGTACAACCCTAACACCATCCTGCTAGCCAGTTTGAACAAAAGAGGTTCTGAGGTGGAAATGATGAGATCCTACAGTTTAAATCTCTCTCTCTGACTTACTGTTTGTGAGTTTAAAGGACGTAAACACGTATCTTCAGGGTTTGAAATGTTGTACAGAATACGGCTTGATAGCTGCAGTTCTCGTGTCCCCTCCTTGCTCAGCTGACCACGTCCATCTCTGCATTAGGTTCAGTGAAGACAAGAAGAGTTAAATCACAGGCAGGTTTGGCACAGAATTTAAACGACAATCTAAACCGATAGTGAATGGACTTTGAGTTCTTGAAAACTTCTACCACACTCAAACCCTAATAATCAGTTTCATTTTATAAACTACAGCTAAGGCCAAGAAGAGGATTAAAAGCTAGGCTTAAACACTTCTGTGGCTATGAGAATTGCTGTTGCTGCGGAGTGTGGATTACAAAAGAACAAACAAAATGAGACATGAGCTGTAACATACACTGAGGCACAAATTAATTACTAAGTTGGGGGTTAGGAAACTTTAAGGAGCTTGCCTTCCCCTGAACTCCTGCCACTGGCAGTGTCGCCAACTCTCATAAATATTCCACTAGATTAAACTAGGTTTATTTGTAAAAAGTTGTGAAAAATTCCTAAATTAAGTTGGCCTCCAGGGTGACATTGTCTTGTCCTGGGTTGTCACTCACAGATGCTCCATACGGAATGAGACTGCGCTCAGTCCTCTGTCCCAAATATGAAGAGGTGAAGCATCCTCTGGGAAACGGTCACCTCCAACAGCCCATGGCACAGGAAAACGGGAAAAGGGAAGAGGAATGTGGGGAGCAGGAGAAAACACCAGTAACTGAGAGGGGAGCACGTGAAAGCTGAAGGAAAATATTTGGGAAGAGGGGAAGAGGCAGGAGAGCGTTATGCAAGTGTGTTTGTGGGGAGGGTGAGGATCGCAGAGGGGAATGCAAAAGGGACAGCAGCATAAAACAAAAGAGGGTTTTGTCTCTCAGCGGGTGGAGAAAATGTAAACATGCTGGAAAGGGACTCGTTAAGGTAAATGTCAATAATCAGCATTTTTTCAGCTTTAAAAAATAACCTGATAGGAAAATGAAACTGTATTTTAATAACCATCTTCCACCTCAGTTTTTGCTTTCACTTGCTCAGTTGCTTGATGTTTAAAGTAAATAGCAAAATATATATTCCCATCTGCTAACTGCAGATTTCTGAACAGAAGAATGAAGTGCACGTTAATAATGTAATATAACGTGAGCTTCCTCTGTGAAAAATTAGGAGCAGAACAGGTCCACATCCACTTGTAAATGCTTTTGAAGTGTATGTAATATGGAAAATATGCCACTCTACAATACAGACAAAATCTCTGTAAAACCAAAAGATCTGTATATTGTTGATGTTTAAGTATAATGCTTTAATAGCCTGATTTATTATCTATGTACTTCATTTTTAAAAATCAAAGTCCAGGTGTTTGTGTATCAAATATGGCTCAAATCTCTTTTTCATTTTTCAGACTCAGTGAGAAGCAAATCAAAACTTCCCCAGTAGAGATTCTGAATTTTAGATGGTTTTGTTAGGTACAGAAAATTTAAAAAGCAGGGCTGCCCTTGATGGGAGAACTGGGAAAGGAAGTATAGCATACTATATAGGGGACTAGCTGGTTTTTCTTAAGTTTCATGAAGTTGATTTATGGTCAAATTATAACTCTAATTTCATGGTATTCCCTGCCCAGCCCTGGACTGTGTTGTCAGCTAAGTGATCTTCTAAGGCACTGAAGCAGAATGCAAGCACTTACCTCGGGAGCGAATCTGGGCACCTTTGCAATCACCAGCGCAGTCATCCCAATACGAGTATTTAAGGTAAAAACTCAACCTGCTCACATACTAGGAGTTACCTCACTCAGCTGTGGAAGTTTACAACGCAGACATCCACATCTGGGCGAGCCACCTTCGGCTCCTTTCTTTCTACTGAGGATGAATGGAGCTCCCTACTCAGATGATGACATAGCAAGTCAAATAACACAACTAGCACCCTGATTTGCATTAAAGTAAATCGGAATTCAGTGCCTTCCTTTGAAAAACCTTCTAGGCAGTTTGTCCATCTCAGCACAGGAATAACTTACAGAACTAGATCACTTCTATTAATGGTCAGTTTTCCATCTGTAAAATTAAACGTGACTCATTTCAGAACAAAGATCGATTATTTGAGGGAGATCACTGTTCCAGCAGTTAAGAGCATGAGGCTAACGCTGCGGAGACCTGGGTTCCACCCCGTTACTTTGCCAGTTACACTGTGCGACTTTGGGGAAATCCCTTAAACTTTGTCTTGGGTTCTTCTCTTATCCGCACAGTAGAGACGGTCTCGCTGCTCATCATCGTAAAGCACCGATTGTTTGATGAACAGCTTAATACGAGTGCAAAAGCATCAATCCTGGAGGCTGTGAAACACCAAGAACGAAGAACGGATTGCTACTCCCTTATAGTCATTTGTCCTCTGGGTCATCTACCACGCTCGGGGTGTTACTTCGCAATTGAAAATCAAGTGGAAAGTTTGTTTCACAATTAGGGCGCTGGCCTGGGACTTGGTGAATGCTCAAGTCCCTGCTTTATCATAGCTTCTTTCATGAAAGACAATGCATTGCAGTAAGGCAATTCCTATGCGTAGATTAGGATCTCCAAATCTCCAGTCCTTTGTCCTAGCTGTATTCCTTGCATCTTTGCAAAACAGAAAATGTCTTCCACATAAAAAAAGATCTACTATTTTGGAACTTCCTAAGGGAAACGACTTAGCCATGCAGTAACCTGCTGCTACCTTGCTCATTCCTACGGGAAAGGCCTGAGTGTCTAGTCCCATGCTTTATAGTTATCATTTTGTCCTGGAATATGCCAAAAATACTCACATTGAAACAAAATGTTTCAGTGTATTTGCAGAGTACCTACTTGATTTTGCACTGACGCAGGTTCTCGCTAGCCTGAACAGCAGTGCAGTTTTAAAGCCGCCAGGCTGATGAGGAGTGGGTGCAGCATCTGAGATTTTAGTTGGTAACCACTCGCCGTTACCAATGAGGGCCGACAACCTGACAGCGACTCGTCGGTAAGCACTGCGTTCATTGCCGTGCTGCCCCAGCAGCAGCGCACATACGGGAAAAGCATGTTCCATCTCAGCTTGTCATCCCATAAGGAATCTAAGGAGTATCTACTTAGGCAGTGAACCGACGACAAGCTTGAAGGAAAGTCTGTTCACTTCAATATTTTTTTTCCTTAAAGGGCCTAATACAAACACTGTGTGCCAGGTGAGAAAACTATTCTTTCCCTAGAATCACCATTTTGTTTTCCAACCTTGATATGACAAGAGAGAATCAATGTACACTAGCCAGTCCCGACCCAGAGCTTTAAAGGGCCCTCCTTCCAGCATTGAAGGCCTGGAGTTGGTGGCATTGATGCCAGCTGAAGTTGGTGGGGATCGTTTTATTGAATTCAAGGGAACGAGATGCAGATTTTAAAGATCGTTAAGAGTTAAAAAAAAAGCGGAATCTGTGAGGCAAACACAGGTAGATGACCTACATTATCAAAGAGCAGAGAAACCACAGACAGAAAGAAAGGAATGAAACCAGTGTCGTTATGAAGTTCAGCGGCCACAGAACTTTGACTATGTATTTTTCCAGCTGGCAGGCAAGGCGGCTTGTGAAAAGACATAAGGGAGTATTTTTATCATTGTTACTTTCTGTATATCCTGGTTTGAACCATACCAATCTTTCTTGGAGGGAATCAGATACTTATAAATAGTTGAGGATAAACCCCCAAGGAGTTTTAAAGGCAAAGGTCTGGTTTGGGATCAATACTTTAAACCTTAATCAGAAAGACAGAGAAAAGAAAACAGCAAGTCAGTTAACCTCGTTTCTGAGCAGTGTGAGACTACGGGAACGCAATACTTTAAACCTTAATCAGAAAGACAAGAAAAGAAAAGAAAATAGCAAGTTAGTTAACCTCATTTCTGAGCAGTGTGAGACTACGGGAACATGCCCCATTAAATAAGCTTATTTTAAGTAAAGATCTCATCAACTGCAATCTTTAAGTGAGGATACAATGCTGTTAACTGGATCTGAAATTTTGGGCCAACTGCAGAAAATCTCATCTTGAACAAAGTATGATGGTGCTGAAGTGTGCTACAGCCTCTTCCACCATGACGCAGATACAAGCATCATCCCTGGGAGGCTGTAGTCCCGTTTTACGATGGGATGCAATGAGCAGCAAGGCAAAATGAAGCGGGATAGGGCCATAATGCCAGGGACTGTCCCCCAAAAGACCCTCACAGCCCATTTGCCCTGTACGGATTCCACAAAGGACTTTTCACATGTCCAAATCAAGTTCCTCCCGGAGGAGGGGAGACAAAAATGGTGAGAATCTAGGATCAATTTACCTGAAGAAAGTCCGACTGCTAAATAGACAGGGATAGCAAGAACAATACTGGACAAAAATACAGAACTAAGTAAGGGAAAATGAGCACTGAAATGAACTTCATTTGAGAAATAGTGAAGTATCGGGGAAGGGCAGCGATGTAGACGGAGCGGAGGTGCACAGCTGCTCCTACATGGGTTACTGTCAGATACAGGATTGGTATCTTATTAAACAAACCACAAACTTTGAAAAATTATGGTTTATCTACTTATACATTTCTAAAGAGAGTTAAGTCAGATTAACATTAACATCAAAGTGCTGCTGGAGTCAATCGCATCTCTGCTGACCTTCAGCGATTTTGCCTGAAGACTTCCAGGTCTACAACGCCTGCCAAAAAATTCAAAAGAAGTTCTCCGCAGGCAAAAAGAGATCAACCAAAGAGCTGGAATGGGTATTTTATTTATCAGTGTATTTGGAAAAAAAAACAAACCCACCTACTGAATTCCCTTCATTCCCTGAAGTCATAGTTCTAGAGATAAAATTTTCTTGTGGGTACACATGTAAATAATCCTCAAACAGAACAAGCGGAGAATTTACAACTTTCTTAGAAAGCACAAAACACCAGGGCACAGGGCAGTGGAACCAAAGGTATGTGGCTGGCCATCCCTTGCTGATGATTACATTCTGTAAGCGATTAGTATAAGGCTGGTTGCGTTGTGTGACATTTCAGCGTTACATAGATTGCTGCCTCTGCTCCAGACACTTCTCAATATCATCCAACACTTGGACAGCTGCTTTTGGAATACGAGTCCCTGGACCAAACACATTGGTAACGCCGGCTTCATACAGGAAGTCGTAATCCTGTTCAGAAAGAAATTTAAGATCTATAGTTAATAGTGCAACAGAAAATTGATAATTGATTTATAATTGGCGTATGCTCTATCCTGTACGCTGGCCCTGAGAAAGGATATGCAACAAGTCCCAGAGAGAGGCAGCACCGCATCAAGGGAAATGGGAAAAATATGGTAGTTAGGAGGTAAAAGAGAAATATTAAAAACATTTCCATGGGAAAGACTTTATTTGTTTAGAATCGGACTAATGTCAGATCCTTGGAAAATATTCAAAAGTCAACTGGATGTGACCCTGAATAACCTAATCTGAATTTGATCTAACTTCTAATTTTGAAAATACTGCTTTAAACCAGGGCTTGGACCAGATGACTGCCAGTGGTCTCTTGCAATCGAAGTTACTCTAATTTTGTGATTGCCCTGAAATTTCAGAAAGACCTGGGAAGCAGTTGTGTTTTCTCTCTTACTTCTACATAGGATACATTATACCTTTTCAACCACAGGTTAGTAGCATCCCATTGAGAGATACTGGACAGAACACAATTTGTCTCCTAGAAAAATACTACAAGTTTTGTTCGTTCAATTTTAAAGTCCTGAACGCTTTTTAAGCTCCTGAATGCTTACCTAATTGGCTAGAAAAGGAAGAAGCCTGGGAAAAGGGAGTAACAGGAGATTTATATGCAAAATCAATTTGCATCTCTCTAGACAGAAGATGACCCTAAAGGCGATACAGCCAGGCAAACTGTGGATGAGCTAAGGAAAATTTTAAGACAAAAGCCCAGATCTGACTGTTCAGCAGTTCATGAGAAAGCAGAGGGAATGAGAGGCAACACTGAGGCCTGATGACGGGGAACATGAGGAGAGGCTAATCAGTGAATGAGACGTGTAGCCTATAGGTGTTGGGACCCGCCAGGTGCCTCAGTCACTAGCTGTGGCTCTTCCGGACTATTACTGGAAGTCACGAAGTCTCTTAAGACAGGAGCTAGCCTTTATCAGTAATATGCAAGGTACTGGCAATTGGAAACAACAGAGCATAAAGAACATCTCCCTGAGGCTAATCTTTTCGCAACACAACTTAATATTCCATCCAACAAACGCTGCAAGTTAAACCAGGGCACGGTGTACAGGAAACCAGATCAATGAGACCTGACGGCGCTCTGCGACCATCTTGCAGATCTGTGCTGACCCTGGTGATTATACACGGTAGCTTCCAGCGCTGTAAATCCGCTCTGACATTAACAGAATATAGGAAATAGCTAAAACCAGCACAGACAGAAATAAAGCAGTCTCCTAGTCTTGACGGAAATGATGTCAACCTGTACCTGAGGTGGGATGACACCTCCACATATGACAAGAATGTCCGGCCGGCCAAGGGCGTTGAGTTCTTTGATGAGTTCAGGCACAAGAGTTTTATGACCTGCTGCGAGCGTGCTCACACCAACACAGTGCACATCCGCATCAACCGCCTGCTGGGCCACTTCTCGCGGTGTCTATATGGAAAGAGGATTACGTGACAAGTCACAGCCCCAGCCTGGCGGCCGAACAAGCCTTAGAGGGAAAATCGCTGCATTTGAAATACATTGGACACCGCTCAATCGGTCATACCTGGAAGAGGGGACCTATGTCCACATCAAAGCCGATGTCTGCAAATCCTGTAGCAATAACTTTAGCTCCTCTGTCATGGCCATCTTGACCCATCTTTGCAACAAGTATACGAGGCCTGCGCCCCTCACGATCCATGAACTTGTTAACTCTGATTGAAAACACACATTGTATCGTTGTAAGTCACTGAGAATCATTAGAAGTATTTCCACAAATAAAATAAAAAAAAGCACTAGCTGCAACTGTAGCATCATTACTGTACATCAAATCAAAAGATCTTCTAAGTCACGGTTTGTCTAGTCGGCATACTATGTTAATATTCATGTTATATGATTACTAACCAATTTCTTGTAATTACTATCCTGAACAATAAAACATTCTTTTTTAAAGAAAACCACTCCACTACTTTTCTGCTTTGTAACGGACAAAATACTGAATTCTCAGAGGGTTTAACGAGCTGAATTGCAACTAACGAAAACACAATTTTTAGATTTTAAGAATAATTATGACCAATTATTTCAAAAGTACTTGCATGGCACACAGGCTATAGAGACGGGTCCTAGACATCATGCTGTGCATCATCTTTCAACTGGGCTCAAGTCTGTGCAGAAAAGGATTACGGCATCCCCCGTTCTGTGCACTCGTTCCAGTGCCTTTCTGTAAGCGATTAGTATAAGGCTGGTTGCGTTGTGTGACATTTCAGCGTTACATAGATTGCTGCCTCTGCTCCAGACACTTCTCAATATCATCCAACACTTGGACAGCTGCTTTTGGAATACGAGTCCCTGGACCAAACACATTGGTAACGCCGGCTTCATACAGGAAGTCGTAATCCTGTTCAGAAAGAAATTTAAGATCTATAGTTAATAGTGCAACAGAAAATTGATAATTGATTTATAATTGGCGTATGCTCTATCCTGTACGCTGGCCCTGAGAAAGGATATGCAACAAGTCCCAGAGAGAGGCAGCACCGCATCAAGGGAAATGGGAAAAATATGGTAGTTAGGAGGTAAAAGAGAAATATTAAAAACACATCCACGGGAAAGACTTTATTTGTTTAGAATTGGACTAATGTCAGATCCTTGGAAAATATTCAAAAGTCAACTGGATGTGACTGTGAATAACCTAATCTGAATTTGATCTAACTTCTAATTTTGAAAATACTGCTTTAAACCAGGGCTTGGACCAGATGACTGCCAGTGGCCTCTTGCAATCGAAGTTACTCTAATTTTGTGATTGCCCTGAAATTTCAGAAAGACCTGGAAAGCAGTTGTGTTTTCTCTCTTACTTCTACATAGGATACATTATACCTTTTCAACCACAGGTTAGTAGCATCCCATTGAGAGATACTGGACAGAACACAATTTGTCTCCTAGAAAAATACTACAAGTTTTGTTCGTTCAATTTTAAAGTCCTGAACGCTTTTTAAGCTCCTGAACGCTTACCTAATTGGCTAGAAAAGGAAGAAGCCTGGGAAAAGGGAGTAACAGGAGATTTATATGCAAAATCAATTTGCATCTCTCTGGACAGAAGATGACCCTAAAGGCGATACAGCCAGGCAAACTGTGGATGAGCTAAGGAAAATTTTAAGACAAAAGCCCAGATCTGACTGTTCAGCAGTTCATGAGAAAGCAGAGGGAATGAGAGGCAACACTGAGGCCTGATGACGGGGAACATGAGGAGAGGCTAATCAGTGAATGAGACGTGTAGCCTATAGGTGTTGGGACCCGCCAGGTGCCTCAGTCACTAGCTGTGGCTCTTCCGGACTATTACTGGAAGTCACGAAGTCTCTTAAGACAGGAGCTAGCCTTTATCAGTAATATGCAAGGTACTGGCAATTGGAAACAACAGAGCATAAAGAACATCTCCCTGAGGCTAATCTTTTCGCAACACAACTTAATATTCCATCCAACAAACGCTGCAAGTTAAACCAGGGCACGGTGTACAGGAAACCAGATCAATGAGACCTGACGGCGCTCTGCGACCATCTTGCAGATCTGTGCTGACCCTGGTGATTATACACGGTAGCTTCCAGCGCTGTAAATCCGCTCTGACATTAACAGAATATAGGAAATAGCTAAAACCAGCACAGACAGAAATAAAGCAGTCTCCTAGTCTTGACGGAAATGATGTCAACCTGTACCTGAGGTGGGATGACACCTCCACATATGACAAGAATGTCCGGCCGGCCAAGGGCGTTGAGTTCTTTGATGAGTTCAGGCACAAGAGTTTTATGACCTGCTGCGAGCGTGCTCACACCAACACAGTGCACATCCGCATCAACCGCCTGCTGGGCCACTTCTCGCGGTGTCTATATGGAAAGAGGATTACGTGACAAGTCACAGCCCCAGCCTGGCGGCCGAACAAGCATTAGAGGGAAAATCGCTGCATTTGAAATACATTGGACACCGCTCAATCGGTCATACCTGGAAGAGGGGACCTATGTCCACATCAAAGCCGATGTCTGCAAATCCTGTAGCAATAACTTTAGCTCCTCTGTCATGGCCATCTTGACCCATCTTTGCAACAAGTATACGAGGCCTGCGCCCCTCACGATCCATGAACTTGTTAACTCTGATTGAAAACACACATTGTATCGTTGTAAGTCACTGAGAATCATTAGAAGTATTTCCACAAATAAAATAAAAAAAAGCACTAGCTGCAACTGTAGCATCATTACTGTACATCAAATCAAAAGATCTTCTAAGTCACGGTTTGTCTAGTCGGCATACTATGTTAATATTCATGTTATATGATTACTAACCAATTTCTTGTAATTACTATCCTGAACAATAAAACATTCTTTTTTAAAGAAAACCACTCCACTACTTTTCTGCTTTGTAACGGACAAAATACTGAATTCTCAGAGGGTTTAACGAGCTGAATTGCAACTAACGAAAACACAATTTTTAGATTTTAAGAATAATTATGACCAATTATTTCAAAAGTACTTGCATGGCACACAGGCTATAGAGACGGGTCCTAGACATCATGCTGTGCATCATCTTTCAACTGGGCTCAAGTCTGTGCAGAAAAGGATTACGGCATCCCCCGTTCTGTGCACTCGTTCCAGTGCCTCCCTTTTTCTGGTTAGTGGCAGTTCAGATTTCTATTGAGTAAAAGTGACTGTGTAACCACAGCCTCAGAGATTAATCTTTCATCTCACTTTTCATTATCCATGTACCGCCAGTATCTGTCCTTGAGCGGGACGCTAAGACTACCACTTCTCAGAAATAAAAAGTTTTTTGTTTGTTTTTGTTTTTTTTTAATATTGTACTCTTCTGAGCATTCTGTTAATGATGGAGTTGTACGGATTTGGTGCACCTTGAAACCACGTGCTGACCTGGCTGGGATGATCACTGTATGAATCCAGTGGCTTAGTCTGGGGAGAAGAATGGCTCTAGATAAAGCATTTATCAGCACAGATTTGAACAGCCTCTGGAGACGATTCCAGGACAGGATAATGCATCACGTAAGAGGGAAAAAGTAAGAACTCGGGCAGCTTAAAAAGGAAATATGTCAAGAGAGCCTGAAGAAGCAGACTGACAAAGCCTCTGTTTGAGGATGTATAGGGGTTGGGCCTGCCTTCTCTATCCCTAAGGACTGCTGAGAGTATCAGTGAAGTAGGTATCTGAATTGATTTGCAATACCTTAAATTCCTTTTCTCCGTATTGTTTTCTGTTCCCATAATCTTGTTTTCTTACTTCCCCACCCACAGGCTCCCTCCCAACAAGACCAGCTCCAGGCCTGCCAGGCTAAGACCACCTGAGCCAGTCACTGCAACTCAGGGCTTGGTTTAAGTGTGGGGCAAGTGTGAAATCACACTTTCGAAGGCCTGTGCAAAGGTGGCACGTAGTAAATCCAGTTTCATTACCATGTTTACTAACTGGTACGTATGATCTCGGACATGAAGGCAGGTATGTAAAAAAGGGAGCTACATCTTGAATCTCAAGGAATCAGTTCAGTTCAGTTTCACGTAAATGCATAATTACAAATGCTGACATTTAAAATAAATATTTAAAATAAAAAGCGATGGTGACATCCCCCAGCACACCTACTTTCAAGTCAGGCTAAACGTCACCACTGTGAAGCCATCAAGTAATTCCCTTTTAAGAGATCCTGTAACTCTTTAATGTATAAGCCCCAACACAGCAGGGACTTACGAGCGTCGGTTCATACTACATCACCACCCACTACTGCAGCTGGGTCTCTTCACCCGAGAGGACAGCAGCAAAGGCAGAAGCTGACAAAAGGCACAAATGGGCACTGTTTTCACACATACTACCATCTTCCGATGTTTTCTCCCTCATGGTACGAGTAAGTAACACCCGTAGACTGGAAATTGTATGTGGATATCCGGACAGATTTTAGCCTCACAACGTTAGGAACGGTAGGAGTGAAGTTGCAGGGACACCTTATGGGCAGACCAAAACTAGGTTTTGCAAATATGAGTTGCTGGAAATATTTGTAGAGATTACTATTACAGGGTCTTCAAAAGAAGCAATCCAATGTACAGGGATTTCAGGCAGTGTTTCTCAGCTTCTTAATCTCACGGCTGCCTAGTCTATTTGAACAAAAACCTCGAATCATAACATCACCTCAGTGGATTTTGTTTGCAAGCAAATAAAAGTTCAATTAAGTTTTGACTATTCTCTTATTGCACTTATTTCTTCTCATTCTGCTTACTTGCTTACAGGCATGAGAATGACACTGCAGATCTTTGTTTTGTTCTGGGGATGTCATTCAGGTTTGGGGAATGCTTTTTTAGGGCACAGTGGATTAAATGTGAGACTGTGTTTGGCTTCCTGGGAAGCTATTCTCACCTATTGATGGCATGAAGAATTTCATCACTCTCTCCAAACTCCTGGCGATAAGCTCCGCTCACCATTCGGTCACTGGCTTTATGCTCCCCAAACACCTTCTTCATTGCATCTGTTATTTCTCCAACAGTGCACCTAAGACACAGGAACAAAGTATTAATGCTATCAGGAGGCTTATATGAAAACAGAATACCGAAGTCACTGGCAGTGGCCCAACTACTTGCCTTGCTGCAGGACAAATTCATTTACACTCATTTCCCCTTTGGTGCTACAACTCTGAGCATCCGACTCACCCCACTGTCGCCCACTAACAGAACACACAAGAGTATTTTT